GGGGGGGGGGTCCTTGTGCTTCACGGGGGACCCCAACACCATCACGGGGGGACAGGCTGAGCACCCCGTGCCGATACCGTCGGTACGGAGGCCGCCCCGGTGCCCGCAGGCAGGGCAGGGGCCGGGACCTGGAGCGGGGGACCCGCGGGTGCTTCCCACGTCCGTCTGTCCCCTTTGTCCGCCTGTCCGTCCCTGCTCGATGACATGGGACAGGACGAATGGCCCTCGCTCCCAGGCAGGTACCGGTGGCCACCCCGGGGGTGCCGGGCAGCCCCGACGGCTGCGGGAACTGTTCCAGCGGCACCCCAGGACTGGGGGGGATCCCGAGGATCGGGCCGCCGGACCCCCGTGGGTTGCAGCGGAGGGGATGGGAGGAAATGGGGACTCGGGGCAGTGGGCAGAGAGTGCGAGGGCCGGAGGGTCCCGGGATGGAGAGGGGGAGGCGAGGGCCATGGTTGCGTCCCACCGCTGGTGGCACAGCCCCGGGCAGGGCCCTCCCAGCCGCGCCTCGGGGCCTCCCCGCGGCCGCTGACCTCAGCCCCGGGAGCCCCGACGGGGCGGAGGCCCGAGGGCGTGGACACGGCCCGGCCCGGCCGGGAACCGGGGCGGGGGAGGCGGGAGCGCCGTGCTGGAGCAGACCCCGGGTCGGCCCTGGGCTCCTCCCGGGCCGGGGGAAGGGCTGCGGGTGGGTGCCGGTGCGAGCCCCCCACCTCCACCGCCGTTCCGGGCTTTGTCCGTCCTTGAATTAAATTGGTGAGCGGCGGCCCCGGGCCGTGACGGGCGAGCGGGGCTAATCCGGCCCCGCATGACTGGTCCGGGGAAACCGCGGCGGGGGGATTACCCCCCCCGGTTCCCGCCCCAATGGGGGACTCAACTCAGGCCCCCCGGCCCGTCGGGCCCCGCACTGAGGACTTCACACCCACCCACGACCGGCCCGGGCGGGGCATGATGGGGGCAGTCTTGTCCCAAACGAGACCGGGCCAGCACCAGCCCTGCGTGCCCGTGTTCTGGCCGTGGGCACGTCAGGCTTCCTCCTGCCAGCGTCTGAGCACCCTCTGCCCTTCCTTCTATCCCTTCTATCCCTCAGTCCCTCCACCCCCCGGTCCGTCCCTACCTCCGACACCTGGTACCGGCCCAGACTGGGTGCTCCGGGGCAGCGGGAGATGTGCGGCGCCGTGCCTCACCCACGCGGGTTATAGACACCGTGGGTGTCCACTGGCACGTTCACGGGGGTCCGGGGTGCCACCGGGACAGCCCGGGCTCGGACAGCTGGAAGAGGCTGCAGCCCCGTCCTGCCGGGCACGGACTAGGACGGGACAGGGGTCCGTGGGCTCTGGAGGGGCGCCCAGGCAGCCTCGACGGTCCACGTCCCTGGGGACTGCCTGTCCTGTCCCCCGAAAAGCCGGTGGCCCCAGGACGGTGTCCCCGGGCTTTCCCGGGACTGTGGTCCCCGTGCGCCCTGGGTTGTCACGGAACTCTGCCTCCCCCATGCGCCCGGGACTGTCCCGGGAGATCCCGTCACCCCTGCCCCTGTGCACCCCGGGCTGTCCCGGGACATCCCGGGCTATCCCCGTTCCCCGCTTCCTCTCTGCGCCCGGAGCCGTCCGGGGCCGTCCCAGGTTATTCCGGGACCAGCTCCTCCTTGCGCCGGGAGCTGTCGCGGCCCGTGCCGAGCTCCCCCCGGCCGGTGCCGGTGCCGGTGCCTGCAGAACGTGTGCGCGGGACGGCGGGGGAAGGCGGGGGGCGGCAGCCGGGAGCTCTGGGCACGGGGCCGGGGAGCAGCCACCCGCCGGGCTAATCCGGGCCGTGACGGACAGCCCCGGCGCCGCCGCTCCCGCCGCCCCGTAAGAGATGCCGCAGCTCCGCCGCTCCCCATTGTTAGGGCGAGGACGCGGGGAGGCCCCGCGCGGCGGGACCGGCCCACGGGGACCCTCCGCGCCGCCCCTATAAGAGGGAAGGGGCTGGAAGATGCTCCCGGGTGCTGAGCGCTGTGCACCCGCCGCGCCGAGCCGAGTCCAGCCGTGCCGGCTCGCCGGGGAGCTGCCGGTACCGACCACCGGCACCGGGTACAGCGCACGGACCGCCGAGAACCGGCACCGGTACCGACACCGGGTACCGCGCGCAGAGTGCCGAGAACCAGGCACAGAGCACCGGGTCCCCGGCACCGCGAACGGAGCGCCCGACGCCGCGCTCCAGGGCCCGGTCAGTGCGCGCTGGGCACCGCACCCCCGACGCCGCGCCCCGGCCACCGGCTGCAGCCCGGTGGCGGTGGCGGTGCCGGCCCGCCCGCCCGCCCGGCGCTTCCCGCGTCCCCCTGCGGCCGTCCTCATCTCGGAGCCGCCCCGCGCGTCCGGAAACACGCGTGGATGTAGCGGCCGGGCCGGGGGCTCTGCGGCACCATAAATACCGGGACGGCCGCTCGCCCGCGCACTTTGCCGGGGCTCCCGGGGCCGGAGCCATGCGCGCCGCCGCGCTGGGGCTGGCGCTCCGGGCACTCTGGGCTCTGGCCCTCTCCTCCCTCTCCAACACGCTGGCAGTGAACAACAGCGGGCGGTGGTGGTGAGTCGGACAGCGCCGGCACCGGCACCGGTACCGGCACCGTGGTGGTGAGGCGGGAGGGCGGGGCTGGCACAGGCACAGCAGAGACTGCCCTGTACCCAGGGATGGGGCGTGTGGGGGGACTCAGGGCTGCGACCTCCGTTTGGGATCCCTGCAGGGGTACCGGGGAGGAAGATGCTGCGGTCACATCGAGGACCTGCAGGGAGGGAGGTTGAGGTGAGGAGGGAGGACCCCCCGCTAGTGGTCACCATCCCCACCTGTGCCACAGGGGCATCATCAACGTGGCGTCGTCCACCAACCTGCTGACAGACTCCAAGAACGTGCAGCTGGTGCTGGACCCCAGCCTGCAGCTGCTGAGCCGAAAGCAGCGCAAGCTGATCCGGCAGAACCCCGGCATCCTGCACAGCGTCAGCTCCGGCCTCCAGACAGCCATCAAGGAGTGCAAGTGGCAGTTCCGCAACCGCCGCTGGAACTGTCCCACCTCCCAGGGCCCCAACATCTTCGGCAAAATTGTCAACCGGGGTGAGGCTGGGGGTCAGCACAGGGGTCCCCAGGCCTCCTCCTTGCACCCCCGAGTTGGGATGCTCATCAAAGAGCCCCTGGTTTGGATGGGGCATCACCAGCCCATCGTGATGGAGGGTTGGGGGTGCTGGTGGGTGCCCCCTCCCCATCCCAGCAGCCTCCTGAGGCCCCGCTCCCTCCACAGGCTGCCGGGAGACAGCATTCATCTTTGCCATCACTAGTGCTGGTGTGACACACTCGGTCGCCCGGTCGTGCTCTGAGGGGTCCATCGAGTCCTGCACCTGTGACTACCGGCGCCGTGGCCCTGGGGGGCCTGACTGGCACTGGGGGGGCTGCAGTGACAACATCGACTTCGGTCGCCTCTTTGGGAGGGAGTTTGTGGACTCCAGTGAGAAGGGCCGAGACTTGCGTTTCCTCATGAACCTGCACAACAACGAGGCCGGGCGCATGGTGAGGGCACTGGGAGAATGGTGAGGGCGCTGGGAGAATGGTGAGGGCGCTGGGGGCTGTGGGCAGCACTGGGGTGGGCATGGAGACAAGCATGACCACCAAGATCTTCAGCCTGTTCCCACATGCGTGTTGGGAACAGTTAGAGATGGATTTCACACTTGTCTTTGGGACAAGTGATGTCTGAGTGTGATGTGGCACTGTAGGAACGAGGGGTATAGGAGCATGGTGATCCCCATGGGGGTCTCAGGCTGCTCACAAGGCCTCAAATTCCTCCTTCCTTCCAGACGGTCTTCTCGGAGATGCGCCAGGAGTGCAAGTGCCACGGCATGTCAGGCTCCTGCACCGTCCGCACCTGCTGGATGCGGCTGCCCACCTTCCGTGCCGTGGGCGACGTCCTGAAGGATCGCTTCGACGGCGCTTCCCGCGTCATCTACGGCAACAAGGGCAGCAACCGGGCATCGCGGGTGGAGCTGCATCACTTGGAGCCCGAGAACCCGGCCCACAAACCCCCCTCGCCCCACGACCTCGTCTACTTCGAGAAATCCCCCAATTTCTGCACCTACAGCGGGAAGACGGGCACAGCAGGCACGGCCGGGAGGTTCTGCAACAGCTCCTCGCCGGGGCTGGACGGGTGTGAGCTGCTGTGCTGCGGGCGCGGGTACCGCACACGGACCCAGCGCGTCACCGAGCGCTGCAACTGCACCTTCCACTGGTGCTGCCACGTCAGCTGCCTCAACTGCACCAACACCCAGGTGCTGCACGAGTGCCTGTGACCTGCGCCGGGGCCACCCTGCCCAGCCCCGGAGGGGGTCTGCGCCACCCACCCCCCATGACGGGTGCCCGGCTGGATTGAAGGCACCCATGGGTGGGGGTATGGATGTGTCCTAGGGACCCCCATGCCGTCATGGGTGGGCTCAGTGCCACGCACCTTCCCGGCCACCCCCCGGCTCCACGGGGTCCCTTCTTGCTGTAAATAAAATATTTATTGTGGACGGTTTGGTGCCACCGCCCCCACCCTGCTTCGCTGGCCCCAGGCCCTGTTTTTTATAATTAAAGATAATAATAATAATAATAATAATTAATAATAATGATGCTTTGTTACAGGTGTCATTGATAGCCTTTAGAGAAGAATAAAGAATATATTTTTATCAGTCCTGCCCAGATTCGTGTTTGGAGGGGCTGTGGGAAGGAGGGGCTGAGGTGGGGGGACACCAATGTATCCCAAACTGTGGGATGTGCTGCCCGTGTTCCTCTGTCCATCCATCACTTCTCCATCCCTTCACCTCCCCATTCCACGTCCATCAGCCCCTCCGGCTGCTGTCTGTCCATCTTTCTCCTCCTTCCCTGCACTCTCTGCCATCCCCTCCCCGCAGACCCCCTTCTTTCTCCCGCTGTGCCCGTCTCCATCCCAGCCATTCCTGCCGCCGCTCCCGGCCGGGACGTTCATCCCCGCGGCTGCGGCGCCCATCACCATGGCACCTTGACTGCAGCATCTCCGATGCTGGAATTTGCCGGGGCGGTGGGGCTGGTGCCGCCGAGGCCGGGAGTTGGGAGCGGCCCCGGGAGGTACAAGACGACAGACAGGGAATGAGCATCGTCCATCACCGCTCCCGGCCGGGGCTGACGGCTCCCCTTGGTTCTGGGGGAAAAGCAGGGCCGGGAAGGGCACAGGGGTTACCAGGGCAGGGGCCAGAGGGGGCAGAGATGGCCACTGGCCCCACAAACAGCCCCACATCCATGCGTGGGGTCTGACCACAACGAGAGAAAGGCTGTGGCAAAGGTGGGGTGCAGCTCCGTGGTTGGCAGGTATTCTGCTGGCATGGCTATCCCCCTAGGATGGACATCCTCTGGAATGGGCATCCCACCAGAATGGGCATCCTCTTAGGGCAGTCCTGCCACTGGAGTGGGCACCCCACCAGGATGGGAATTTATCATGCAGGACATGCCCCGAGATGGGTTTTTCCCTGGGAGAAGAATCCCAAAGGGGTGGGCATACCCCCAGAATGGGCATCCCTGGCAAGGGCATCCTTCCGGGACAGGTGTCCCACAGGAACGGGTTTCCCAGCAAGGTGGGCATCCCCCAGTGAAGGACACCCCTGGGGTGGGCACAGAGTCCACACATCCTCCCTGCAGCATGACTTCACAGCTGGGGACATCAAAAACTCCCTCTCTGTGCGTGGGGGACCCCCCAGCCTGGTGCCACCTGTCCCAGGGGTCCCCACAGCCTGGGCTCTCCCCCAGAGCCGGGAACCTCTCGGGGCCCCTGAGGCTCTGCCGCATCAAAGGCTGCGGGATGACGCTGCCACCACCCGAAATATCCCGCGGAGCCGATAGTGGAAAAGTTGATGTTTAGACTCAGAGGAGGGGGGGAAAAACACCCTGGGGGCCCCCGCTGCCCGCGCCAAGGTCAAAACACAGCCCAACGTGGAGAATAAAATACCAAAATGCAAGGAAAACGCCTGGAAAGGAACACAGCCCGAAATAACCCTCCGAGCATCTCCCGCCTGCCGGGTTATCTGCCTGCTAAATTCTGCTCCTGCTTCAGCATGAAAATAGCCTGTTTTCCTGCGGTAGGAGTCAGGAATATAGATAATGACATTCTTATAAGTCACCTCTGTTACTCAGCTTTTCCTGCATGTCCTGCTGGGCACCTCGGGCAGATGCGACCCCCGGCTGGGCAGGGGCACCCTGGGCACGGGGCACAGACCTCCCCGGCTTGGACAAATATTCGTGGGTGCTGGAAATAGCTGCTGTGGGCCAGCACAGGGCCAGGGCCAGGGAGAGGGCCAGGGAGAGGGCGGTCCCATCCTGCACCAGCCTGTCACATCTGGGAAGCTGGGTAACAGCTGGATGGTGGCCACAAGCTGGGTTTGATGAGGGCTGGGACGATCCCGTTCCGGGATGGAGTGCAGGGGGGATCTGCCTGGGGGTGTGGGACAGAGAGACAGGATGACACACAGAAGTGTAGGACAGAGGGACAGGGGTGCTTCCAGGACAGAGGGAAGGTGTCATTCCCAGAAATGCGGGACACTGGGACAGGACAGTACCAGACGTGTGGCACAGAACTCACACAGAGCAGGACAGTGACCAGTGGCACAGGACAGAGGGACAGAGCCTTGTCCACAGATGTAGGACAGTGGGATGGTGACATTCCCCAAAGTGCAGAACAGAAAGACAGGACAGTGCCCAAAATTTCTGGACAGAGGGACAGGATGACACAGAGAGATGCAGGACAGAGCCATACCTAGAGATGTGGGACAGAGGGATAGTGTCATTCCCAGAATCTAGACAGAGGGACAGGACAATGCACAGAGGTGCAGGACAGAGGAATTGTGTCATTCCCAGAGGAGCAGGACAGTACAGTGCCCAGAAGTGTGGGGCAGGAGGACTGTGTCATTCCCAGAAATGCAGGACAGGAGAGGACAATGCCCAGAGGTGCAGAGCAGACAGACAGAGCTGTGCCCACCTGCCCAGACCCTCAGGTAGCCCCGTTCCACCTGCGGAACCCACCCCATCCCATCCCCTGTCACCATCGCCAGCGGCACAGCCCCGTCCCGGTTCCCCTCGCCTCCGGTCGATGCGGACCCACGTCCCGCCAGCTCCCGGCTTGTCCGGCCGCCCCCTCCCATCCGCCGCATTCCTCCGGCGCGGGGCCAACGCGCCCAGCAACGGTGGCAGCGCTGGCCTCTAATCCCCGGGCATGCCAGCCCCGGGGGGACCGTCGCCGTCACCCACTCCCTGATAGGTGACCAATGCCCGAGACGAACAATTAGGGACAAAGCGGAGCCGCCGGGGGCTAACGCCGGCCTTCACGGGTGCCTTGTGCGGCATTCGGCGGGTTTAATGAATTGTCCATCAATCCTTTCAGCTCCGCTCGCCCGGGCTGGATTAATCTGAGAAGCCGCAGTAGGGAAGGAGCCGCTAAGCCTGTATTTATTACTCTGCCATTGTAACTAATTGAGGTAATTATCTGTGACTCCAACCCCGCGCAACAATGCCGCATTCACCGGACCCTTCCCACCGGCTCCTCGCGCGGCCTGGGAGAGCCAGCACCGCGGGCTGGGATGCAGGAACACGGTGGTGACGGTGGCATGTGCATGGTCAGGAACGTGGCGTGGCTGGCACCGATAGTAACCAGGTGACACCGCACTGTGGGGACACGGACAGTACTGCTGGCACATGTGGGCTGTGGCATGGCCAGCGCCAGCTGCACGTGCGGGTCACGGCTCTGCGGGGACACTGCCAACACCAGCACGTACATGGACACAGATCTCTGGGGACATCACTGTCACCAGTGACACACGGAGATCACAGCTCTCTGGGGACACTGCCAGCGCTGGCACATACATGGACATGGCTTCTCTGGGACATTGCCAACACCAGTGACACATGAGTCACGGCTCTCCGAGGATGCCAGTTACCACCAGTGACACACACGGGTCGCGACTGTCTGGGGACAGCACCAGCATCAGCACATACATGGGCACAGGTCTCTGGCGACATCACCGTCACAAGTGACACACAAAGGTCGTGGCTCTCAGACACCACCAGCACCCATGACACATGTGGGTCACGGCTGTCTGGGAACCCAGCCAGAGCTGGCACATCCACGAACACAGCCCTCTGGGACACCACCGTCACCGGTGACACACGAGGGTCACAGCTCCCAGGGGACATCGCCAGCCCCAGTGACACACAGGACTGCCGTGACCCTCAGACAGCACGGGCACGGATGCCACACGTGGCTGACCGTTCTTTGGGGACACCGGTACCGCTCCCCCCCGCCGCTCCTGGGGCAGGCAGCACCTCCGGTGCCCCCCGGTGCGATCGGTCACCGGCTGCGCGGCGACATCTGGCGGCCACAGGCGACAACGCGTCCCTATCCGGGGGCTCCGGTACCGGGCGGGACCCCCCGGTCCCACGCATTGTCTCCCCCATGGGCTGAGCCCCCTGGCCCGGGGGGACCCCAGGCTGTGGCGAGTTTCGGGGGCCGGCGGGTGCCCCGGGGGTGCCGGGGGAAGGCGCTGGCGCCGGCGCAGCCCGAATTAGAAGGTGATTTTCCCGGCGGGGAGCGGGTTTGGCCAGGAGCTGATCCCACGGGAAGGGCCGAGCCGCTGCCCCCGCGTCTGGGACACCCCGCGCCACGCCGGGCACCGCGCCGAGCCGGGGCATGACGTGCTGTGCTGGGCTGTGCCAGGCTGTGCTGAGCCATGCCAGGCTAGACCAGCCTGTGCCAAGCTGTGTTAGTTTGTATTGAGCCATGCCAGGCTATACTAGCCTGTGCCATGCCGTGCCAAATCGCAAAGAACTGTTCTGGGCTGTTCCGGGCTTTGTGAAGCTGTGCTGGCCATGCCGTGCTGGGCTGTGCCAAGCTGAGCCATGCCAGGCTGTATCAGGCTGTACTAAGATGTGCCAAGTCGTGCCCAGCCGTGATGAGCTGTGCCAAACAGCCTGTGCCGAGTGTTCTGGGCTTTGCCGAGCCGCAGTGAGCTGTGCAGAGCCATATCAGGTGGTGTCAGGCTGTGCCATGCTCTGCCAGCCTGCTCTGAGCTGCTCCAGGCTCTGCTGGGCAGTCCGCTGCCATGCGAAGCTATGCCGAGGCTGCTGAGTTGTGCTTGGCTCTTCTGGGCTTTGCCAAGCAGTGCCAGGCTGCTGTGCCAAACTGACCTGTGCCAAGCCGTGCCAGGCTATACCACGCTGTGCCAAGATGTGTTGGGTCACACCAAGTTATGTTCCAAACTGTGCCAGGCTGTGACAATCCGTGACAAGGCATGTGGATCATGCCACACCTTGCCAACCATGCTATGCCATGCCATGCCAGGCCAGGCCAGGCCATGCCATGCCAAGCCGTGCCAGGTGCCACCACACTGGGTGCAGGATTAGAGCTGTGCCACGGTGGGCTGCAGTTACCGTTGTAGCTCAGGCCGGACACAGGTGTGGGACTCGGATGGCATCCTGGCCACGTGCCAGGCCAGGGGACACACGGGGTGACGTGGCCCTGGGGGTGCCCCCCCAGCCTCCCGGGTGGCCTTGCTGCGACAGCTGCCCCGTGCCGTGACCTCCGGGCCGGTGTCACCGGGATAATGACAGGGTCGCGCAGGGGGGCGGGGGAGGAGCCGGTTTTAAATAACGTGCAAATTGGACACGATATTTGTGCGGTTTCCTGGGGCCGCGGGGATCCTCCCCCCCCCGAAGCGTGACTAAGAGGTGGCGGCTGTTTGGGGGAGGACAGTCCCCCCCGGGTGAGTCACTCGGGGTCCCCCCCCGGCCGTGACGTGGGGCCGGTGGCCGAGGGCCAGACCTGCTGTGCTCACCTACTCATTATGCGGGATACGGGGGGAGCTGGCACGTCCCACCCGTGTTGTGACGCACTGTGGTGGCCGCCGGGACACCCGGGACCTCCGACTGACCCCGGCACCATAACGGGAGGGTCCGGACACCGGGAATGCCATGGGGGCGTGCCCAGACACCTGTGTCCTTGCTGGGGGCTGCAGAAAGGCCTGAGGGGGTGACGCCCCCCACCGCGACCTCACACAAACAGGGGCAGAGGCAGCACACCGGGATCTCGGAGCTTTTATTGGGGTCAGCCCGTGGGAGCTCCAGTCCCGAGCCCCGCCCCCGAGCCCACCCGCCGAGCCCCGCCCCTGAGAACCACACCCTGGCAAGCCCCGCCCCATAAGCGCCACACCCCGGCAAGCCCCACCCCTCAGGCAGGAGTGGGGCTGGCGGAGCCCGGGGGGGCCCCGGTGCTCTCCAGGCTGCTGCTGCTGCTGCTGTAGGCGCGGGGGTCTCGGCAGAGCCGCTGCCGGGAGCCCCCCACGCTCCCCTCGGCATCCGAGTCCGAGTCGGGCGCCGTGTGCCGCCGGATGCGGGACACGGCTTCACGCAGCGCCTGGGCGTACAGCACCGGCCGGCGCGGGGGGGGCCGCCCCCGGGCACCCCTGCAGCCCCCCGGGCTCTGCCACGGACTGCGGGGGCTGCCGGAGCGCTCCCGGGGGGGCGAGGGCGCGGCAGAGGGGCTGACAACCCCAGGGGACACGGAAGGGCTGCGAGGAGGGGTGCCAGGCCCCAGGGACCCCCTGGCATAGCGGACCTGCTGTCGCTCTGGGGGTGGCACGTACTGGGCCCGGACCACCACACGAGTGGCGTCAATGAGGACGTGTCCCCCCGTCCCCCGCTGCCCCCTCCCGCGCCCTGGCACCCGCTCCCGGCCGGTTGCTGCTCGTGGCAGCGTCTGGCAGTGCCGGGGCGTGCCAGGCCCTGCCGGGGACACTCCTGGGGACATCCCACGGGGCCACCGGTGCTTGGCCTCGGTGGCCGCCCGGGGCAGTGTGTGGCTCCAGCCCCTCGGCACAGCCCCCCGGGCCCGGGGTGCCGGCGGGGGGCTGCGGGGTCCCCGCAGGGGGCGGAGCTGCAGGGTGCGGTGGGGACCGTCATAGGCGGGGGGGGAGATGTAAGGGGGGGGTCCCCCACGGCGGGCGTGGGCTGCCTGCACCCGCTGCATGTGCACCTCGTAGGTGGGGGGGCCCAGCTTGTCACCCGACACCGGGGGCCGAGGCACAGGTACAGGGTGCCCCCCCCAGGGTCCACTGCCCCCTGTCCCCTCAAACTGTCGTGGGGGGCAGGGGGTGGGGGGCACCCGGGGCCGGGTGGTGAAGTCCTGCAGGCGACAAGGGGGGTTGGAGGGCACCGGGGGCCAGGGGGGGGCCAGCTCGGCCACAAAGCGCTTCTCCAGGTACCTGCAAGACAGAGACGGGGAGTGAGGGGAGCGAGGGACGGGGAGCAGGACGGACCCCCCACCCCGCTGTCCCCACTCACGCGTACTCCCCGGCGATGCGGCGGTAGGTCCAGGGGGGCTCGGGCCAGCACCCCGCAGCCATACCGGTACCCGCGCTGCAACACGCCACCGTGTCGATCTCCACCAGCACCAGCTTGGTCCGCTCGCAGATTCGCAGGCGCCCCGCACCCCGCTCCGGACCCCCCAGCATGGCCCCGGCCGGGAGGGGGGTCCTCGGCACGGGCGGCTCACCGGAGCCTCGGCGGAGCCACGCGCCCGCCCACACGCACCCACCTGCCGCACGTGTGCCCCCGGGGACCCCGTGTCCCGCCCGGTGCCACCTCGGGGCCCTCTGACCCCCGGGAGACCGGCGCACCGCGGGGACCCCACCGGCCGTCCCAGGGGTGTCGTGTCGCGTGTGTGTGTGTTTGTGTCCCCCCCGCCCCGTCCCCCCCGCGGGATCCCTTCCCCCCCTGCGACAAGCAGGCGATGGCGGGTTTGGCACCGAGCGCTGCAGCCCACGCGGGCTCCGAGCGGAGCTTAGCAACCCTCCGGCGGCGGCATGGCAACCGGCACGGCCCCCCCCCGAGTCCCCCGGGCCCCCCGGTACCTGCCCGGCGCTCACCTCGCTCTGCAGCCTCTGCCGGACCCCGGGACTGGCAGGGACAGGGTCCCTGCTCGCCCGTCCCCTCCCGGCCAGGAATGTGCCTCGCTCAGCACGGCCAGGCCTTCCGCCTCCCCTGTGGACACCGGCTGCAACCCCCGGTGTTCCAGCTGTCTGCGACCCCTGCCAGCCCCCCACGGGACCCTAACATCCAAGCTCCCCCCTCAAGCTCCCCCAGCCCCTACTCAACTCCCCCCGCTCACCGTGGTGCCCACCAGAGGGTCCCCATGTCCCGCCAGGTCCCAGTCTCTGTCCCATCCCCAATCCTGGCCTTTTAGAAAAGCCACAGGCGGAACAAACAGGGATTTAGGGTCCGGGCGAGCTCAGCAGATTCCCCCTTCCCACGGGGGGCCACACCCCCTCCCCAAACACCCCCTCCCTGGTCAGTGCCCCCCGTGCCCTGCACCGAGTCAGGGTGGTGCCAAGTCTGTGTTTATTCGTGGTTTCTCTTCACACACGAAGCGGTGACGGGTGTGGGCACAGCCGGGGGAACGTGGAGGGAGGTGGAACCCCCGGGGGTGTGGGGGGTCCCCGGGCCGGGTAGTGCTGAGTGGGTTTCACCAAACCCAGGGAGAGGGTGCAGGGTGACAGGGACAAGAATCCACACAGGAACAGCCCTGGCATGGATATGGGTGACCCTGGCCCAGCACCCCAGGGGGGTCGAAGGCTGCCTCCATCACCCCACACAGCTTTGGGGTGCAGGGCACGGCATGGGGGGGCTGCAGGCTCCCCCCACCCAGGGAAGGGCAGCGGGGGCTGCCCCAGGGCTGGGGGTTATTGCTGGATGCTGCTGGTGAGTGGGGGCATACCCCAGGTGTCCCTACCAGCCCGGGGGTCACAGTGTTGCAGGAGAAGAGAGTGGGAGGCTCGGGAGGACTGAAACCTCCTCCCCCACTGCCTCAGGGGCCCTGTGGGAGGACCAGGGCTTGCAGGATGTCCGAGAGGGAGACGATCCCTTTAACCACATCGCTGTCATCCACCACCACCAACCGGTGGACCTGGAGAGGGGGGACACAGGGAGGGGCTGAGGGGGTGCAGGGACCCCGGCCCGCCCCCCCCCCGACCCCCCAGCACCCGGGGACAGTTACCTCGGCCTCGACCAGGCGGTTGATGATGGTTTCCAGCGTCTCGTGCTTGTAACACTTGAGGACGCCCTCGAAGTAGTGGGAGCGGTGCTGCAGCGCCCGCGTCACCGTCACATCCAGGTTGTTGTAGGTCTTCTCAGCTGCCAGATTCTGGGGCAGGGACAAGCATTGGGGACACAGCCGGGATTAACAGACCCCCCACCACCCCACAGCATCCTTCCAGCCCAGGATTTTCCCCCAACAGTACTCACAATAACGTCGAATTTGGAGTAGATGTCCACTACCCGCCCTGGGGAGGGAGGGGAGCTGCTCAGCCGAGTCCCCGGTGCTCCAGAGGGGACACAGCCCCCCAGGGAGGTGACGTGGGGACAGCCAAAGTGAGGACAGGACATCCTTACCCGAGTCATCGACCACAGGCAGCGCAGAGACGCGGTGCTGCACGAAGATGCCCAGGGCCACGTAGATGGGGGTGCTGGTGCCAACCACGGCGATGTTGCTGTAGGTGCCAATCTGCAGCTCCTCCAACGTCTGTGCCATGAACTCAGGCTTGGGGACCTCTGCGATCTGTGGGGGATGGTGAGGGGACAGTGCTGAGCCCAGGCCCGGGGGTGCAAGCAGAGAGCTGGGGGGTTGTGGGGTCCCCAGGTGGGGGCAGTGGGGAGGGTCCATGCCATGTCCTGGGGGTCCTCTGGCACTGCAGTGTGTGGTGAAGCACAAGAGCTGTGCCCACCTGGAGCTGGTGGTACCCAGTGTGCAGGTATCTGGCACAGCCCAGGCTGGGGGTCTTGGAGTGACCCCTGGAGCAGCCTGGGGTTCTGGGGCAGCTTTTGGCATGGCCTGAGATGGGGGTCTCAAGGCAGCCCCTGGCTCAGGGACCTGGCACAGCCCAGGATGGGGGTCTGTGGCACAGCCTGGGCTGAGAGTCTCAGGGTGGCCCCCGGTACAGCCCAGCGTGAATGTCCTGGGGTAGTACCTGGAACATGTACTGGGCTGGGGGTCCCAGTACGGCCCCTGGCACAGCCCAGGCTGAGGGTCTTGGTCTGGCCCCAATCATCACCAAGGGGCAGAGACTTACAAAGAGCTTGAGGAACTTGAGGATGCGTTTGTGGGTGAGGATGTAGAGTGTGTTCCCCGAGTCGGGGTCGATGACGGGCAAGCGATGGATCTTGTTCCGGATCAGGGAGGAGACGGCGTCGAACAGGCTGTGGGGAGGAGGGGAGGGGGTATTTGGGGTGTTCCCAGGAGTGCCACCACCAGCTGTGCCCCTCTCCCTGCCCCCCAGGGTACCTGGCATTGGGGGAAATGCAGACCAGTGGCTTGAAGGAGTCTTGCAGATAAACCTCTGTGGGGAGAGGGGGGGTGAGGGGATGGATGGGGTGGGGTGCAGCACTGGGGGGCTCCGGGCATGCCAGGAAGGGCAAGAGGCAGCCAGCAGCGAACCCCTCACCTCTCCAGGTCTCTATTTTATGTTCCTCCAGCTCATAGATCTGCACCTGCGAGGAGGAGGAGAAACCCAGATCACCCACCCAGGGTCAGGTGGGGCAGGCAGAGCCCAGACCTGATCCCCCAGCAGACCCCAGCCCTCACCATGGGTGATTTGTAGTAGCGGTGCAAGATGTTGATGAAGTCGGTGATGGTCAGCATTCCTGGGGGGCAGGCAGGGTGAGGAGGGTCCTGCCAGCCCCCCTCAGCCCCCAGAGACCCCCGGGCCCCTCACTCACCTACAAAACTTTGCTTTTTGCTGTCCCAGAGCGGGGCTGCCCGGACACCGTTGGTGACCAGCGCGAAGAATGCCTTCTTCACCTGCAGGCACGGGGGTCAGGGAGCCCCAAAAGTGCGTCCCCGGCCCCAAAAGTGCCCCCCCGGCCCTGGCACACCTGCAGGGATGTGTCGAAGACGACCAGTTTGGAGCTGGTGGGGATCAGGTCGTAGCAGCGATGGGATTTCATGAAGGCGGTGTAGGCACCGCGGTGAGTGTCCCCTGGGGTGGCAGCGTGAGGGGGCACCCCAAAACCTGGAGCACCGCAAAACCCAGGACACCCCCAATCCCGGGACACCCCCAATCCCAGACACGCCAAATCCTGTGGCACCCCCAATCCCAGGACACCCCAAAATCCTCTGACGCCCCAAATCCCGGGACACACCAATACCTGGAATACCCCAAATCCTGGGACACTGCAAACCCTCGAATGCCCCAAATCCCGTTTCACTCCCAGTTCCCGGATCACACTCAGCTCAGGGCTCCGCCACACCCCTAACTCCGGGATATCCCAAATCCTGCGGCACCCAGCTCAGGGCTGCGGGATACCGCAGACTCCGGGACAGGAACCCCCCAGTAGCTGCAGCCTTTGGGACACCCAAATCAATGTGTCACCTCCTGTGCCGGGACCCCCCCGCATGCCGGCACCTCCCAAGCCTCCCTCGGAATCACCTTCCAGCCCCGGGGGGCTCAGCTCCGCCGGGGTCTCGGCGGCCGAGCCAGGGCCGGGCCCGGGGCCGGGGTCAGGGTCGGGGCCGGGATCCTGGGGACAGATAAGGATGGGGTTAGATGTGGCCGCGGCCCCCGGTCCCGACCCCCCGTGTCCCCCCCAGCCCCGCTGTCCCTCCCAAAACCTCCATGGGTCCCGCTCCGTCCCGAGGTGCCGCTGCCCCACTTCCGCCCGGCTCTGGCCCCGAGTTCTCCCAGTTCCTGGTCCCGCTTCCTCAAGACTTCCGGCCCCACTTCCGCCCGGTTCCAGCCTCGCTTCCGCCCGCTTCGTGCCCCACTTCCGCCCGCTTCCTGCCCCACTTCCGGCTCTGGGAACCGCTCGGGACCCGTTCCCGGTTCCGCCCGCACCGCCCACGTGACTCACGGCCTCCAGGAGCCCTTTCCCCTCCCGCCGGGTCACGGGGTAGAGGTTTTTTGGGGGGGGGGGCGGTGTCACACGTGTGGGGATCCCCAGGGGTTTGGGGACATGGCGGGACACACCTCAGGATGGCCCAAGGGAGGGGTAACCATGGACATGGGGTCCCCGGGAGGAAAGGAAGGGGGGGTGTGACACACATGAGGGTCCCCGGGGGATGGGGACACACCTCGGGGTAAGCCAGTCACTGATTTTGGGAGGGTGACAGAGCCTGAGGTGGCAGAGAGATCCTTCCCTGGAGACACCGGGCTGGGGGGACACGTGGGGACACCAACACCAGACCAGGACCGAGCTGTCCTCGATGGAACCCATTGTCACGGCTATCCCCTGCCCCCCGGACCCCCCGAGCTCCCCTAGGAGGGATCAGGCGGCCTCAGCTTCTCACGCGCTTTATTTAAAATAACATCCAGTGGTTCCGGTATTGGTAAAAACGGGATTTCTACACGCCCCGGCCTATGTACAGCTCTGAAAGTTAAATTTCTCGTATATTTTCTGTTAAAACTTTCTCATCCCCCCCCCACTCGCGCTTTTCCTCTGTTCTTTTTTTTATTTTATTTTTTTAAAACATTTTTACCTTAAACCTTTTTTTTTTGTGGGTTTCTTTTTCGGTTTTTTTTTTTTTTTTTTTTTTTTTTTTTTTTTTTTTTTTTTTTTTTTTTTTTTTTTTTTTTTTTTTTTTTTGTTTTGTTTTGTTTTTTTGCAGCTTTGACGAGTTTGCGGAAGCAGCTTTTCAAGATCGGCCCCGGCCCCCACTGCACCGGGGCGGGGAGGGGGCACCACCCCCGTCAGACCCCCCCCCCCCTATTCCAGGAGCAGGAGGGTCTCCCTTCCTCCCCAGCGCCGTGTTTGTGCGTTAAGAGATCCCGGCGCCCCCCGGGGTCCTCCCCCGGAGTGGGGAGGGGGCGGGCGGGGACCCCGGGGGGGCCGCAGCCGGCGCGGGGGGGGTGCCGGGGGTGTTAATGCCCACTCGCTGCTTCGCTCTCCGAGGCCGCCCCTGCCTGGCAGGAGGTTCCAGAGAGAGACCCCCCCCCCTCCCCACCCCCACCTCGGAGACTGGGTTTAAAAACCTCCCCGTTTTTTTTGCCCCTGCACCCCAAATCTCAGCCCAGCAGAGCACAAAGAGCCCCCCCCCCAGCCCCGTCTAGTATATACAATATAAGGTATAAATAGATAAATAACCTTCCCCTCCCAGTGCAGCCCCAGCTGGGAGGGCCAAGGGCGAGCAGGGAGGGGGCTCCACCCGGCCCCTCCAGCCGTGGAGGCCACGTGTGAGAAGGAGGGGTCCCCACCCAACCCCTCCAGCGCCCCACCAGAGCTGGGGGAGTGGGTCTGACCTCCCCCCTCGCCCCTCCCATCCCCACCTCACACCTTGGCACGTCACACAGCTGGGACCTCCTCCGGGAGGGGACGAGGAGGGGGTGTCCCCGTGCCCCCCCTTCAAGGCATCCTGACAAAGAGCCACATCTGAGGAGGGGAGACACGGGGAAGCCGCATCCTCTGGAGCCCGAGGGAGAGAGAAAAGGGAAGGGGCAAGTTGGGATGGAGGGGGGCTCACATTTAAAAACAACAACAAATAAAAAGAAACAAATCTAACACTTAAAATGAGGTAGGTTTGGGTGCAGAAGCTCCTTGTGTCTGTCGGGGTCTTGGCTGCATCCCGCCGCCGCTCCGGGGTCTCGTCCACACGCACAAACAAAAAGAGATCAAAGGAACCGAGCGAGCTCTGGCCGCCACGCCGGCGGGGCAGAGCCCGGATTGTCGAGCTCAAGGAGTCTGTGTTACCTTGGTAATTAGCGAGCAAATATTATTAGTTTCTAAAAAAAAAAAAAAAAAACAAAAACAAAACCAACAACAACAAAAAAAAAGAAACCAAAAAAATAAAATAAAATAAAATTAAAATAAAATAAAATAATCGTTATATCCAGACCGGCTCCGCACAATCGCTCCGGCCACGCTGGGCCCGGCGCTGCTCCCCCGTGGCTCCCCCATGAGGGAGGCAGGCAGGGGGTGGTGAAGGGGGCATTTCTGAGCCCCCCCACTCGTTTTTTTGTTTTTTTTCCTCGCAGGACGAAGCAAAGAAAACCCTGAGTTGCCAGTTCATCTGTCCGTCCGTCCCGCTCGGGCAGGGCCGGCAGCGCTGCAGCCGCTGCTCTCCCTCAGTGCCCGGCCGCCCCTGGCACCTCTTGCAGCCCTGGGGGGCTCGGCGAGGTCTCTGAGGCGGGGATGGCAGCCCCCAGCCCCTTTTTCCCAGTTAGTTCATCCACTTCCTGCAATTCCAAGCTCCACAGTGGCAGGGGATCTTGTGCTGATCGTCCTCGAAGTCAAACTGGTAGTCATAGGTGAGCTGAGAGGAAGAGAGGAGTCAGCCAAAGCACGGAACTCAGCCCTGCCACCTCCAGCCTCCCTCCCTGGGTCCCCCAGGACCCCCTGAGCACCCCCTCAGTCCCTCACTGACCTCCTCCCCCTTGGGGATACGCCGGCTGGAGATGATGATGATCTTGTCCTCCTTGTCGAAGGTCACGACTTCAGCCACACAGTTCGGGGCACACGAGTGGTTGATGTACCTGAGGGATAAGGGGGGGTCAGCACCAACTCGGAGGCAAGACAGATGGACGTCATGGCTCCCTCTGGGGACATCCCAGCACCCCAAAGCCCCCGTGCTCACCTGGCTGGGCCCCCCGTCAGCGTGGCGTCAATGACGTGCTCGTTGTTGATGCGGAACATGTAAATGCCACGGTTCTGCCCCGAAGGAGAAGAGGGGGTTGAGGGGTTGAGGTCCCCATATTCCGCCTGAGTTGATGTCCCACGTCCCACTGGAGACCCTCAAATCCCGTATGTCCCTCCACATCCCACCTGAGTCACTCTATGTCCCACCAGAGCTCTCAAAATCCCACCTGAGACCCTCCATGTCCCACCAGAGCCCTCGATATCCCTCTCTAGTCCCTCCAAATCTTGCCTGAGTCCCTCAATGTCCTGCCAGAGCCTCCAACATCCACCCAAGTCAACGCACATCCCACCTGAGGCCCCAACATCCCATCTGACTTCCCCCATGTCCTTCTCAAAGCCCCTCCATGTTCCACCAAAGCCCCAGTATGCCACCCAAGTCCCCAGCAGAGCCCCACCTGCTCCTCATAGATCTTCTCCCGCCTGTTGGCCACCTCGTTGCGGATGATGGTGCCGATGTACTCGATGACCATCGTGTGCTTCTCGATGTCCTTGGCTGCGTAGAGCCCCAGCCCCTGGATGCGGGACCGTGCCAGGTACACGTTGTTCTTCCACTCCGTCTTCAGGCGCCGGTATTGGGAGGACTTGGAGTGCACAAACTGCTTGCTGTAGGGCGTGTTGGTCTCGCCCGTGAACGTGCTCTGGTAGGCCTTGGACATGCTTGTGCTGTTCAGGGTGTGGGGCCTTCCAAGGGAGGGGGATGAGAGGGGTTAGAGCTGAGGGATCCCCAGGGATCCCAGCTCTCCTGGTGGTTCACAACTCGCCCCGTGAATTCCGGCTTAGCTTACCGCTTGTAGTGGGTGAGGATCTTGGGCTCGGAGCGGGCGCAGCCGGTGGGATTGATCATCAGGGGCAGCTCCATCAGAGGATGGCGCCCGTAGCGGAACAGGTAATTCTGGCAGCTCTCGACACCCGGCAGCTGCAGAGGGGGACACGGGAGGGCGGTGGGTCAAGAGCAGCAGAGGAGCCACCGGCAGCAGGGTGGACCCCCAATATGGAGGAGAGACCCCCATGCTCACTCCAGACCTACCGACTCAGCGATGCGCAGCACCGCGTGCACCGTGAGGCCGAAGAGCTCCTCGCCCTTCAGGTACTCAGGGAAGAGTCGCAGCATGTCGGCCTCCTTCCTCATCATCGCCACTGGCTCGATGATCCGGTTCCACACAGCTGCCAAGGGAAGGGAGAACCACAGAATTAATTAAGCTGGAAAAGACCTCCAAGATCATCGAGTCCAAATGACCAGTCACCACCTTGTCACCAGAGTAGAGCACTGAGTGCCACAGGTCGAAGATGGGGACCCAGTGGGGACCTCAAGCCACCTTCCGCCACCCCCTGGTGTATTCTGGTGTGGCTCAGCCACTGGGACAAAGGTTGCACACCAGCACCTCCCAACTCTTTACCTTGGGGCGAGGAGTCGGAGAACACAAGATCCTCCAGGCCCTGCTCGATGACCTGCACGACGAACTCGGGGCGCCCGTTGTTCTCACAGATGGTGCAGCGGTAGCAGCAGCGGCGGTTGTTGGTCCGCAGGCTCCAGTAGATGCGCGTGGCCTCGTAGCCCACGGGGTAGAGGGCCGTGACGCTGTGGAAATCGGCCATCTGGTGTGGCAGCAGCTGCCCGATGGCGTGGAAGACCAACCCGCCCACGCGGAACATGTGGAGCCGCTCCCCACGCTGGATGATGCTGGCGATCTGCTTCACCTCGTCCCGCTCGATGTAAACGCGGCGGAACACAGTGAAGCTGCTGAGCTCCTGCTCGCAGGGCCCCTTCAGCTTGTGCAGGGGACACAGCATGGTCTTGTCCTTGAAGAACATGCACTTGGCGCGGATGGCGCAGGCGAAGTGGTACACGCTGGGGCAGCGGATGCGGTTGCAGCTGTTGGTGGCACCGGTTTTCTGGCACAGGGAGCACTTGGTGAGCAGCCCGCGGTGCAGGGCCACCTCCACGTTGATCAGGGCCCCTCCCTGAGTCTCATACACTTCTGTGGACCACAGGGCACAGTTCAGGTGGACCCAGAGGTCGAGGTCAAGGTTGAGCAGGCGAGCCGGCCCGTCCGTGGCCCCGTCACCCTCCTCGTGACAGAAGCAGCACTTGCGCAGGTCTTGTGGCACCTTCTCGGGGCGCAGCGTGGTGCCCAGCTTGTCAATGAACTCGGCGATCTCCTTGTCGCCATCACGCTTGGCCCCCCCTTTCTGGATGGTGACGAGGAAGCGCAGCCGTTTCCAGCGCACCCCCTTCCACTTCTTCAGCCGTGGTCTCACTTCATCCCCGTCCTCTGGAGGCCGCGAGCGTGGCTTGAACCGGGGCGGCGAGTGGGCGGCTGTGGCCCCTTCCTCCTGGGGGGCTGGCGAGGGGGCTGGTGGCAGCGGTGACAACGGGGCTGGGGCTGCCTCGTGGGACGCCTCGGGGTCAGGGACCCTGGTGGGCTCAGCGGGGCTGGATGGGGAGGGAACGGAGGGAGACAGAGGGGGCGAGGGCTCCTGAGGCAGGACAGAGAGCTGCCGCACGTCCAGGTTGGAGACGTTGTTGACATAGCAGTGGTGAAGGGTCTTCTCAGGAGCAGGGCTGTCCTGTGGGGTGGAGAGAGGGGCACAGGTCAGAGCGTTGTAGGGATGGAGACTCCCAACTTCCCTGTGCATTGCGGGAGGCGTCCTTGGCCCCACAGGGACCCATCAGCATCCCACGTGCCCCCCAACCCTGCAAAGACCTCCTGGATTCCTTCCTAGGAGATCCAGCACCTGCCCATGGGGAGACCTGGCCCTCAGGAAAGTCCCTGCAATCATGGGATGCCCTACAGCGACCACCCTGCATCTCTACCAAAGAGTCCCTGCTCCTGTACCCCCCCACAGCCACGGCCCTATGGGTATCCCAGTACCCCCCTCCCAGTCTCCCAGCCCCACAGGGAGCCCTGCATACCACTGACCTGTCTGAGCAGCGTCAGAAGGTCCAGCTCGCCCTTGAGGCTGTACCCTGGCAGCACCGCATCGAACTGCTTCAGCCACTCAGAGCTGCTGTCCGGCACCTTCCCAGCCAACACCTTCTCCTTCCCTCCGAGCATTCCTGGGACAGGGATGGAAAGTCCGTCATGGGGGTCCCAGCTTGGGAACACCGGGGGACATGGGGACAAGCTGAACACTCACCAGCCACATCAGTCTCCACCCTCTTGGCCTCAACCACAGCTGCTCGCACAGGGCCATCGGGGAACAACACCTCGTAGGAGCTGGGGATCTTCATGCTCAGCAACTCGGCCATGGCCACCATCACCCCGTTGAGGTTCTAGGTGAGAGGAAGGCAGGATGGGTCCAGAGTGTCACAGGTGCCACTGTGTTGGGTCACTGCTGGGACCCCAAGGGTCTTGAGTACCCCCGTTCCCTCGCTCACCTTGGCAGCTGCTGCAGACACTGTTAGCATGACAGAGACCTCGCTGCTCTTGCCCTTCTCCCATGGGGCTCCAGGGCCTGCTGCCCCCACCTTCCCTGGTGGAGCCCCAAAGGGCTCTGCGACCTCATAGGGTTTTGTGTCGGGGAACACTGGTGTGGGGAAAGTGGGGTCAGAGCCAGGGCCAGACCTGTGCAGACCCAGCCCTACCAACAGCCACACATGAGCCCACCCAGCTGCCCCAGCTCCCTGCAGAGAACCCACCACCCTGCAAATCCCTTTCCCTCACACTCCCCAATGAGCCTTCCCTTGGCTCCCTTAAACCCCTCCTAGAACAGGAACCCTGTCCTGGCCCATCTTTATCTCTTCATACCTAACACACATGCTCCAGACCCCCTCCCTGTGCTGCACATCCACAGACTCCCTCCTGCCCAGTCCATATGGACCACAGATCACTCCTGCCCTGATCCACACACCCCTCCAGTCCATCTCACCTGGGATACTGGCCCGGGGGATGATGGGGATGATGGGGGACAGCACACGCTCCTCCAGCTCTGGCTTGGCCTCGCTGAGAAGTGGGAAACGGAGCAGTTCCTCGCCCAGGACACTCTCAGGGGATGAAGCAGGGACGATGCTGTCGGGGGAGTCGCTCTCATCGTCACTCTCCATCCTGTGGAGATGAACGTGTCAGAGGCCACAGGGCCTGGTGTCACCCATGGAGGGGCTGATGTCACTTGTGGGGTGTCACCACAGAGGGGGTCTCACCTGACGTCCTCGGTCTGGTTGTGTGGAGGGGTGGGCAGTGCTGCCAGCAGGTCCAGGCTCTTCACCTCCACAGATGGTGCATCTGCAGAGAAAAGATGGGTGTCATGGGGGGAGTGATAGGTGGCAGCAGGGATTCTGTGCCACCCGTGTGCCATCCAGGCTCACCTTTCTGCCCATGGGGCTCACGGGCTGGGTCAGCATCCTTGGGCTGCTCCCCCAGCTCTTCAGGGGCCGTGACACCATTCACCATCTTCTGCTGCACGGAGGGAGGGGGTGTAGGGGGCAGCGAGGAGGGTGGTGTAGGCGGGTTGCTGAGGTTGTTCTGGGGGGAGATGGTGGGGTGAGAACAGCAGGATGATCCAGGAGCCCCGGACAAGGGGGACACCAAGGAACAACCCCCTTCTCACCTTGGTGAGCAGCTGGGAGTAGTAGTCAGGGACGCTGTCGAGCACAGCACTGCCGAAGGCGCCCCGCAGCTGGCTCTTGCCATTGATAGGGCTGCTGCCGAAGGGTGCGAAGAGGCTGAAGTTGGCCATGATGGTCGGCTCCGTCAGCGGCAGCAGCGACAGCTCCTGGGGACAGAGTGGTGAGGGAGGGACAGGGGCAAAGGGAGCCCCCTGCCACACCCCGGCCTGCAGCCATACCTGCTTCAGCTGTTTCATGAGGGCCTCACCAGGACGCAGCCCCTCATCCTTCCGCAGCTTCTTGCGGGACGCTGGGATCCGCTCGTTGCCTTTCTGCACCCGCTTAGGCTTGGTGGGTGCTGGCTTCCTGGCAATGGAGGGGTCCTGAGGAGGTACAAGGGGGCGTGAGCTGTGCCAGCGCAGCCCATCACCCATCGCACCCCCAGCCCAGCCTCTCCTGCTCACCTCCCGGCCCAGCAGCAGTGACTGCGGCCGTGGCTCTGTCCCAGTGCTCCGGTTCTCCATGTGCCCATTGAGCTCGCCTGGGCTCTGCGCTGACAGCTGCACGTTCTTGGCCCGCAGTAGCTTCTGCAGCAGCAGGTGCCCAGCCTCGGAGCGCCCACCTGGGGCCAGCAGGCTGTTGGCTTGGCTGTCCCCAGGGTCCCCATTGGCCTCTGGTTTTGCTGTCTCGTCTCCATCCACCTCACACTGTGCCACTGCTGCCGCCTCTTCCTTCGGCTCCTGCTTCACCAAGACCTGGGGGGCTTCGCCTGCTGCAGGGGCCCCCTCTGGCACAGCCCCATTGATGTGGGTCTCACCAGGCTCAGCTGGGTCCACCCCAGGTGCATCGGGGTCCCAGGGGCCGTGTGCTGGGTCAGGGAGGGCACCGCTTGGCGTGGGAGTCAGCCCCGGCTCCGTGGGTGCAGCAGGGCTGGGGGCCAAGGCTGTGACTCCCGGTGACGACTTCTTTGGCTCTTGGGGGCTCTGCTCAGGGCTGGCCAGGTGCTGGGGGGCACAGCCCAGGGGTGAGGGGGCTGGTGGCGTGGGGAGGCGGATGAGACCAGGCTGGGGGCCACGGGCAGCCAGAGCTGCCTGAACCAGCTCAGCCAGGGGCTGCTGGGGGGGCTGCCCTGGCAGCACCCGCCCCGGCTCGGTGGCAGAGCTGGTCTGTGCCTCTGCCGGGGCACCTGGTCGGGGCTGGAAAAGGGACCCCATGGGACGAGGGGGCTGGCGGGTCCCAGGCAAGCTGTAGTCCGGGGCCTGCCCGGGGAAGGGGCCAGGGGTCCGTAGTGCCTGGTTCTGCTGCAGCAGGCTCTGCTGGTGCCGCTGCACCAGGAGGGCCTGGAGCTGCTGCTGCTGCTGCGGTGTCAGATGCCGCAGCTGTGGGTTCTTGGCCAGGACACCCTGGAGCTGTGCCCGGATCTGGCCCATCACCGGCCCTGGTACCTGCCCCAGGAGACCCGGTGGGAGAGCGGCCGTGCCCGATGCTGGCCCGACTTTGTGCTGAACGGGGCTCTGGAGCCGCAGGGGCTGTGGCTGCCCTGGCAGGGTCCCTGCCACCCCCTTGCCTGGCTGCTCTGGGGGCCGTGGTGCTGGCACCATGGCCTGTGCTGGGCCTGCCCCACAGCCCAGTGGTTGCTCTGCCACGCCGGCCGTGTCCCCATGCTGCTGGGAAAGCTCAGGATGGACAGCCCCAGGGCTCTGCAGCGGCGGGGCGAGGAGGGAACCTGCCTGCCCGGGGGCTGCCCGCAAGACAGCCGGCTGTGGGGAGGTCAAGAGGAGCTGCTGGCCCTGCCCCAGCTCAGCCTGGTGCTTGGGGGCCGGGGGCTCCGGGCCCCCCAGCCCTGGGGGGTTGAGGGCTCCCTGCTGCTCGCCGTGCAGCTGCCCCCCGCTCTCGCCGCCCTCAGCGTGCAGGGCGCTGCCGTCCATCCCCGTGGGCTGGTCCTTGGCAGCCAGGACCGCCGGGGCCGGCTGCATTCCCTGACTCAGGTGCAGCACAGAGGGGGCCTGGCCCCCCACCCCATGCTGCGGAAAGTGCTGGATCGAGGGCTGCCCCTGGCCCAGCCCCAGGAGACCTGGCTGGGCAGCCGCTGAGTTCTGCTGCTGCTGCTGCTGCTGCTGCTGTGGGGCCAACAGTGCCCGAGACTGCCCCAGCTGCTGGGATAGCACGAGCCGGTGGCTCAGCATCCCCGGTGTCTGTGGTGTCAACTGGGGTGAGCCCAGCACCCGCTGCTGGTGGGGGGTCAGGACGACCTGGCGCTGGGGCTGGGGGTGGCCCAGCACAGGCTGGTGCTGCAGCCCTGGTGCGTGGCCCAGCACGCCTGGCTGCTGCTGGGGTGAGAGCTGCTGCACTAGGAGGCTCTGCTGGCTGCCCAGCAGTCCCGGTTGCTTCGGCACCATGGGCTGAGACCCTGTGCCGGGCTGTGGGGCTGGGGGCTGCTGCTGCTGCTGCCCCAGCACGGCTGTTGGCTGCACTGGGGCCTGGCCCAGCACACCTGGCTGCTGTATGGATGCCTGGCCCATCATGCCTGGCTGCTGCAGCGATGTCTGGGCCAGCACACCTGCCTGTTGCATTGAAGCTTGTCCCATCACGCCTGGCTGCTGCATGGATGTCTGTGCCATGATGCTCTGTGGCTGCATCGAGCTCTGTCCTATCACACCCGGCTGTTGCATGGACGCCTGACCCATCACACCCTGTTGCTGCATCGACGTCTGTCCCATCACACCTGGCTGCTGCATGGACGCCTGTGCCATCACACCTGGCTGCTGCAGCGATGCCTGTCCCATCACACCTGGCTGCTGCATGGAGGTTTGACTCATCACGCCCTGTTGCTGCATCGATGCTTGTGCCATGACACCTGATTGCTGCAATGCCGTCTGTCCCATCACACCTGATTGCTGCATGGCTGCCTGTCCCATCACACCTGGTTGCTGCATTGATGTTTGTCCCATCACGCCCTGCTGCTGCATGGCTGCCTGTCCCATCACACCTGGCTGCTGCAGCGACACCTGTCCCATCACACCTGGCTGTTGCATTGACGTCTGTCCCATCACACCTGGCTGCTGCTGCAGTGACACCTGTCCCAGCATGTTCTGCTGCTGCAGTTTCTGTGCCAGCTGCATCCTCTGGAGCTGCCGCTCCTGCATCAGGCGGCTGTCGGTGGCCAGCCCCCGCAGCGCGGGGTTCCCGCTGAAGAAGGCGCCAGAGGAGCCAGGTCCTGGGGCGTTCCCCACGGGCTGCTGCCCCATGAAGGACAGGCCCTGCTGCACGGCCATGGACACACCACCCTGGGGCAGGCGCAGCCCCCCAGGCTGCCCTGGCTGCTGCCCGAGGCCCTGCGCTCCCACCAGGGCTCCCCCAGGCTGCTGCACGCCGTGAGCTGACAGGAGCTGTCCTGGGAGCTTGGACATGAGGCGGGGGCTCTGCGAGGGGCTCAGGGCCATCACGGCTGAGGCCTGGTGCTGGTGCTGCTGCTGCTTGTTGCGGTACTCAGCCATGAGATTGGTGTGCTCCTTCTGCTGTTTCCGCACCTGACGGGGACGGCGGGGTGTCAGTGCCAGGAATAGCAGGGTTTTAGTGCCAGGGGCAGGGGGACAACACAGCCTTAGCACTGGGGATGGTGGGGCATCAGCACCGGGAATGGCACAGCTTTAGTGCCCAGGACAGGGGACCATTAGCATCAGGAATGGCACAATAACAGTGTTAGAAATGGCACACCACCACCACTGGAAATGGCATGGCTTTACTGCCAGGGACAGTAAGGCATCAGCACTAGGAATGACACAGGACAAATGCTGGGGACAGTGGGCATCAGAGCTGTGAACAGCAGGGCATTAGTGCTGGGAACGGCAGAGCATTAGTGCCAGGAACATCAGGGAATTAATACCAGGACTGGCACAGCATTAGTGCTAGGGACAGCAGGGCAGTAGAGCCAGAAATGGCACATTTACTCTGAGGACATCATGTCTGCACTGGGGATGGCACAGTGTTAAAATGGGGAATATCGAGGCTAACGCTGGGAACAGTGAAGCATTAGCACTGGGGCCATCACGTTTGCACCAGGGATGACCACCCACATGCAGAGTCCTACCTGGTCCAGCTGCTTCTGGATCTTGCTCTGCTGCTCCGTCACCAGCTTCAGCTTCTCGGCATCAGCCTCGGGGAACTCCCGCCCGGCTTTCTTGGCCGTGCGCTGCTTGGCACACAGCGCCTTGCGGGACTTGCGGTGCGCCCCGATCTGCTCCTCCAGCACCTTCAGCTGCATCTGCAGCAGCTGCTGCGTGTGGAACAGCCACTCCTCGTACTGCCGCTGGTCAGCCTCGTCTGTGGGATGGGGAGAGGGCTCAGATCAGTGGGGACCCCGGGTAAGGAGAGACCCCGGGTGAGTGGGGACGGCAGCCTCCAGCGTCTGGGTGAACCCTGTCCCACACCAGCCCGACCCCGCTGTGTCAGTACTCACTGATGACGCCCTGTGCAAAGGTGGGTGGGTTGGGGCGAGCCTGGGTCGGGTCTGTGCCGCTCCGCTCCTGGCAGAAAGGGCAGCGTTCAGGACACATGCCGTGGGTTTCTGTCCTCTCCCCACAGTCCCCACCCCCTCAGGGAGCCAGAAAAATACCAGTTCTGGCTTGGTAGCCCTAAGAGACCCCTGTAGGCTCTCTGGACACTCCACTCACCTGCCCGCTCCCTGCCAATAAGTGGTTCTGCATCTCAGAGACAGCTGGGCCCCCAGAGAGCCGCTGGGCCAGCAGGGAAACTTGTTGCCTGGGGGACACAGACAGAGATAGGGTGTGAGCCAGAGCCAAAGCAACCTGCCTGCCCCACCCTGTGCCCCCCAGACCCTCATGCCTGTTACCTGTTCATGCCTGGGGCCACCCCGATGCTGCCCTGAGCCATCACCTTCTTGATGCCCTTCAGTGCCACCATCTTGGCCTTGGCAATGGGGTCCATGATGTCCTCGGCCGCAAACTTGTCCAGGTCTGCTGGGACAGAGACCACAGCATGTTCAGCCCTAGGCCCCCCACTCAAAAGGGCTCCGTGCTCCCCCAAAACAACCACCCACAGCCCCTACCTGTGTCCGGGAAGAAGCTGTTGGCCAACTGCTGCTGCATGACGAGCTGGGGGGGCTTCAGGCCCAGGGTGGGGGGCTGTACCCCGGCCATTGGCTTCTGCACCAGCACCTGCTGCTGGCTCTGCTGCGGCTGCCCCAGGGCCACCTGCACCCCGTGGGGGGATGACAGCACGTGGGGCTGCCCAGAGCCCATGCCCATGTGGGGGGCCAGAGCTGGGCCCTGCTGGGGTGCGTTGAGCCGGGGGGGTTGTGGTGGCAGCAGAGGTGGCCGGGCCACCAGCCCCAGCTGGAGGGGTGTCTGTGGGGTGCCCAGACGGGGTGGCTGCCCCTCGGGAGGCTGCCCAGATGCCCCTGTGTGCAGCATGGGGTGCCCTGGGGCTGGGAGGTGGGGGGTGCCACGGGGCAAGTGGGCTGACATCTGCTGCTTCTTCTGCAGCTCCTTCTTCTCGTGCTCCAGGAGGTCCTCGATGAGCAGCGGCAGCTCGCTGGCCACCAACGAGCTCTCCATCTTGTCCAAGTCATCTGCTGGCGAGTGCCGGGCACTGCCCAGCCCCAAGGCTCCGCTGTCCAGCTCAAACTTATCCAGCAAGGGGTTGCTCTGGCCACCCAGCTGGGCAGTTGGCAGCCCACGGCCAGCGCTGGTGTAGGGGTCTTTCTCCAGCACAGGGACGCCAGTGTGGCCACTGCTGGAAAACTGAGTTAGGCTGAGGCGAGTCGGGCCGGTGCTGGAGCTCAGGAGGGTCTGGCCAGGTTTGACGCTCAGGCCCAGGGAGGCAGAGATTTTATCTGTGCCCTGCAGTGCTTCTGACTTGACTGGCACTGGGAGGCGCTCGGGACCAGCAGTGGTGAACTGGCAGGGTGAGGTCTTCAGGCAGCCGTCCTCCAGCTTGGGCTTGACATCAGTGGGCAGCGAGCCGGCCTTTGCCTCCACACCCTGTGCCTTGAAAGCCGGGTCGGGGGCCAGCACAGTGCCCGTGGGGCAGGCAGAGAGTCCCAAGCCCATCCCAGACACCAGTCCTTCCTTGGGCACCTCCTGATCCTCCACAGATGGGGTCGCATCTTTGCTGTCCCCAGGGTCAGGGAGCTTCAAGGTGGGTGCTGGTGGTTCTGTCTTGAGCTGGGCCTCACGCTCAGCCTTCTCGTTGGCCGACTCGACCAGGCGCAGGTGCTCATTGAAGATGTCCTTCTTGTCACCCGTGTCCAGCTCGGGGTCAGTGTAGGCCAGCAGGTCGAACTCATCACCATTCAGCAGGTCATCAAGGTGGGGGTCTGCTGTCTCCAGGCTGTCCAAATTGTCCAAGTCATCGTCCCCTTTGGCCACATCTGGATCCAGGCTAAGGTTGGCCAAATCATCATCATCTTCCAAGTCCTTGTGAGAGCCGAAGTCATCATCCAAATCAGGCTCCACGGGCACCTCGCAGGGCAGCCGCCCCCCCTCCAGGCTCAGGTGGCTCTTCCCTGGGGCCGGCACAGGGTCTGGAGCGGGGCCATCCTTGGGACCCTCCGGGCGGAGGGTGGCACCAGAAGACAATGGGCGTGGGGGGATGTGCTGCTGCAGCTCCAGGGCGGGGGCTGCCAGCGGCGGGGCCGCCTTGGCGTGGGGCTGCTGGTGGCTGTTGCCCATCTCGGCTCCCTGGGGGGATGCAGGTGGCAGCGGTGCTGGAACCTTCTGAGATGGCAGCGCCTGCATGGGCATGACGGGGGTGCACAGGGCCTGCGGGGTGCCTTCCTCCCCGGGCAGGAAGAAGCGAGGCCGGGGTGCCTGGGGGGCAAAGGGAGACCCCACGACACCCCCGGGTCCCTTCTGCACGTTGTGTCGCAGCTCGATGAAGGGAGCGCCCAGGGCAGCTGGTGAGGGGGGCACGGCCTCGGCAGGGGTGGGCAGGCGGGTGCCCAGGCTGCCCATGGGGGTCCCAGTGGCCGGGGGGGCGAAGCGGGAGGTGACAGGGAGCCGCAGGGCCGCCACGGCCGCTTGTTGCTGCTGCTGCTGCCAGAGGTGCTGCTGCTGCTGCTGCTGCGGGGATGGTGATGGGAAGACCCCACGAGGGTAGAAGGCCTGGGGGGGCCCCACCGCCGCCCTGGAAGACACCGTGGTGTTGGCACCAGCTCGGTACAGCTGTCCCATTCCCCTCAGACTGCACCAAGCACCCACAAACCCACAGCCGTCCCCTCCCTCAAGCTGGGGATACATGTGCTCCCAGGGTGACATCTGCTGGGTCCCACCCGTGCATGCTGAGCCCATCACCCTGTCAGGGGGCACCCACCGCCCGCTGATGTCCAGCATGGCTGGCGTGGCCGCCGGTGGGGGCCGGGAGAGCCGCTCGTCCTGTGCGAACGCTGCCTGCACCATGACAGAGCCAGGCAGCTTTCCAGCACCGGCTGCTGTGGCCAGAGTCCCGAGGAGAGCCTTGTCCTGGAGGAAGGAAGGAAAAAAGAGTCAGTCACCCATCAGCTGCATCCCTCCCGTGCACACTGCCCCTCCATCAGCCACATCCCCAACATCACACCGTGCCCCTCCATCAGCCACATCCCCCCCGTGTATGCCACGTCCCCACATCAGCCACATTCCCCCCTCATCACACCGTGCCCCTCCATCAGCCACATCCCCCCCGTGCATGCTGTGTCCCAGCTCTCCCACCTGTGCCGGTTGGTACGCAGCCATGCCCCGGCTCAGCTCGAAGCTCTGCCCGCCGGCCTCAGGGACCCAGCCAGCTGGTGAGGAGGAGGCGGCAGCAGCCGCGCTCTCCTTCTCCTGACGAAGGCTGTTCCGCTGGATCTGCTGGCGGATGAGCAGCTCCCGGAGCCGCTGGCGCTGAGAAGAATGCAATGTTAGAACCGAGAGTGGTAACAGGACCAAAACCAGCAAAACAAACCACGTATGGAGTGGTTATCAATGCCTCCACAGTCCCAGTTTTTCCCTTTCATTCTCTCCCAAACCCGAATGGATACAGCTAGATCCCAGGAGAGGCCTCACCTGCCTCTGCTTCTCCAGCTCTGACTGGCTCATGGTGCCCAGAGCCCCATCCTGGCCACCGGGCAGCTCCGCCAGGTCCCGGTTTGGGGGTGCCGAGAGCCCCGCAGCCACCTCCTCCCTCTTGTCAGCCGTCAGTCCCAGTGCAGTGCGGGGCAGGAAGGCTCCAGAAGGGTCCTGCTGCTGCGGGGGGACCGGGGGCTGCGGTGGCAGCACCGATGGGGGCCGCAGGGGCGAGAGGCTGTAGGAGTCATGGGCAGCAGTGCCAGGGCCCAGTGGGCTGCTGGCCTGGTGGAAGCTGGGGGACGAGGCGTAGGCCGAGCTCTGGGGTTTCCCAGAGCCGTAATGGCTGTTGATCCCATGGGGCTGGTGGGACGGGGAGCCCTTGAGCGGCTCCGAGACGGCCGGGGGGAAGGTGAAGCGCATGGGGGGCTGGCTCCCTGGGAACACGCTGGCACCGGGCGAGCGGGCAAAGGGCGGCTGTGGCCCGGCCGCTGCCTTGGCATGGGGGTCACCTGCCGGGGTGCCCCCAAAACCTCCACCAGCCGCACCCACTGACTTGAAGCCCGGCTCCGGCATCTGTGGACGGGGGGGCTTGTGCAGGGGGGTGAAGGGGTCCCGGGATTGTGGCCGGGAGGGCGGCTGGGAGTAGGGATCTGGAGATTGGAAGCGAGGGGTGACAGGGGACTGGCAGAAGGCTTCGTTGGAGAGAGGGCGGGGTGTTAGAGGAGACTGGGAGCTGGATTGGGACTGGGGGCTGGCAGGGACACGGGAGAACGGCTCAGAGGGCAGGGAGCGAGGCGGGAGGGCGCAGCAGGCCTCGGGGGGCTGCAGCCGGGGCGTCAGCGGGGGCTGCGAGTAGGGGTCCAGGTAGGGTGACTGACGGTAGAGATCAGGGTGGCCAGGGGGCGAGGGGGCCAGGGGATGGGGGTCGGGGGGCCGGTGCCCCAGCCCCGGGCTCTGCGGCTCTACCTGAGAGACCCGTGGGGTCATGGGGGCTTTGAAGACGTCGGCCGCCTTCAGCTCCGCAGCCGAGAGGTGGGGGCCACCAGGGGAGTCCCCGTAGCCCATGGCAGAAGTGTAGCCGGGCGAGCAGACCCCCAGGCTCCCCCCATCCTCCTTCTTCACCTCCAGACCCTTCTTCTGCTCCCCGAAAGGCAAGGGAGAGAGCAGGGCCTCAGGGGGCCGCGCCCCAGGACTCCCTGGCACCGAGAGGTTGTCCAAGGAGGGGCACCGGGGCTTCAGGAAGGGGTCAGGGGTGCCAGGTTGGTGCCGGGGGGTGCCAGGTGGGGTGGGGTGGAAGTCGGGGGGAGCACGGGGGGCTGTGAGGGGCTGGGGCTGGCTAGGGAAAGGCTGGAAGGCAGCACCCGACGTGGGGCTCTGGCCCAGGGGCGAGGGGAAGCGAGGCTCCAGCGTGTAGGCGGAGGCCGCGCCGTAGGGATCGTGCGAAGGCACTTGGGCAGGGGACTGGGGCGGGAGCTTGAGGAAGAGCTCGCTGGGAGACTCCGGTCCCCCTCCAGCACCAGCTGGGGGCTTCAGGAAGCCCTCGCCGGTGGCAGGGGGGCTGCTGATGTAGACGGGCTGTGCCCCTGACGGCACCGGGATCCGCAGGTGCAGCGAGGGCCTCTCAGGCTTGCGCAGTCCCTCCCCTTTGGTCTGCTTGTTGATCTGGCTCTCGGCCTGCTGCAGAGAGAGCCAGGCTGTCAGCGCTGTGGGAGCCCTGCTGCCCTCTCCATGGGTTGGGCACGGGCTGGGGGTGGGCACACCATGTCCCCCAGGGCTGGGCCGGGGCCACCGGGCACCTCCCCGCGCCTCACGTACCTTCTGCACCTTGTTGATGCGATGAGCCGCTCGGTTATCTTTGGCCTTTTGCTAACAAAGACACGAAGCCAGCTGACTTGCAGCCCCCGGCGCCCCGGCCCCCCACCCCAATGATCTCCCAGCACTCACCAAATACGGGGCTTTGTCCGTGGCAGGGACTTTCCTCCAGAGCTTCATGATCTGTTTGCAGCGGCTCGACCAGTCTGGGAGTCCAGTACGAGCAGATGAAAAGGAGAAAAGCAACATTAACCCGGACCTGACAAGCCCACTCATATTCTTGGTGGGTTACTGTCTCCCCCTCATGTGATGGGACAGCCCTGCGCCCAGGAGATGGAGCTGAGACCCCCCAGCCCACTGTAGACAACACTCCAGTGCCAGAATACTGGATCTCCCCTTGAGAAAGCGACCAGGGAAGTCACACTCCACCCATACCCACAACCCTTACTCCAATGGGGCAGCTGCAGCTCCCCCAGAGCCCTACCTGGATAATCCTGCTTGAGGTTGGGGAAGTTCATGTTGGCATAGAGGACGGGGGAGATGGTGGAGAGCTCACCCAGCTCCTCGTCCTTCTCCCAGCGCTGCAAACTGCGCTGGTTGTAGGACAGCCCGTCACCCTCACCCTCCGTCGTGGGCGTTGTGGGGGTCGAGGGGGTGGTGGCGGCAGAGCTGCTGGCCCAGGGGCTCTCGGGCTCGCAGTGGTCTGGGCTGAAGAAGCCACTCCGCTCCCTGAGTGAAGTGTCACAGGTTGTGAGGGAAGAGTGCGTCCCACCCACCCTACAGTTCAATCCCTCTGAAGAGGCACCCTCCAGCTCCTCGAAGTACCTGTTATCAAGGAATGGGGACTGGCAGACCCCCGAGTATGAGTCCAAGGAGACGGATCCGGAGAGTGAGCCCAGGGAAACACTTCCTGCGAGGGAAAGGAGAGGGGCTGCAGGGAAAGCAAAGCTGGGGCACCTGCCCTGGGGGTCCAAACAATCCCCAGATGGCACAACCCCCAAACTGCTTCTCACGTTCACCCCTGGAGCAACAGGGAATACCCAGAAGCCTGGGCTCTCAGATACCACAGGCACCACTGCTTTCCAAGCAGGTCAACCCCATGAGTTTGGCTTTCCTGGGGCTGGCAACGAGCCCTGCCCTTCACCACACTCTCCAGAGACCTCCTGGATGGCAGGGGCTCTGTCAGTTCCACCCACCTTGCCCCGAGAGCTGGAGGTCTCCTTGCAGGAACGGCCGCTGTGCTCGGCTGGGGTCCTGCCCGGCCTCCATCCCCGCGGCCACACAGTTGAGGGGCTGCTCCCCGCGCTCCGCCGAGCCCAGTACATCCTTGAAGAGCTGCTGCACGTCTTTGCTCTCCATCTTGGGCAGCTCTGCGGGGGCAAAAGCAGGAGCTGGGTGTGATGGGAAGTGGAGAAACCTCGGGGTCATGATCCTGGGACCTCTGTCACTTCAGCAGAAGCAGGGACGCAGGATGGTCTCACCTTCCGTGGGGATCTTGTCGAGGTCGGAGCTTAGCGCTCCCTCGCCCGGTGTCGCTGGTTTTTCAGTGTCCCCACGGTCTGGGGAATCCTTCGGTTCATCAGCCCCTGTGAGGAAGAATCAGGAAGTGCCCTCAGCCCGCTGGGGCCCCTCCGGCTCAGGGCTGGGGACCCCCACGGGGCAGCCCCCATCACCCAACAAGGGACAGGAGTCCTTTGGTCCTCCAGCGACACCAGGCCACGCGGGGGCGCTCTTGGCGCCACTCTATGGTCACCGGCACCATGTGACTGACAGGGGGTATAGGGAACCATAGAGCTCAGCCCTGCCTAGAGCGGATCCCTCAACCATAGAGTTCCATCTCGATAGCTGTGGGCGCCCTGTGCCCTGTGGAGGACTCGGGTGTTGGGGGTCACAGAGGGGTCCCCGTGCCTCACCCAGGTCCTCGGCCTTCGCGTCGTCCTTGCCGTCATCATCGGGAGCGGCGGCGCTGCCGTCAGTGCTGTCATCCCCTGCAGGGTACCCCAGGATTCAGCAAGCAGGGTCAGGGCCCCTTGACCCCCAGCATCGTCCTACACCCCTCAATGGCAATGGCAGCCCCCCGCAGTCCTTGGCATTCTCCAACGAGCCTCAGTGTCCACAGTAGCTGCTCACAATGAGGGTCCCCCCACAACCCCAGCGACCTCCAATATCCCCCCAAAACCCCCAATCCCAGGGACCCTCAGCCAATAACTCCTCAGCCATCCCCATCCTGGGGACCCCAAGAACTTCCAACAACCACAGAACCCCCAGCAACCCCAGGGATCCCCCAGTCAAGTCCAAGGACCTCCAACCATGGTAGGGACCCACAACGACCCCCCAGTAACCCTCACAACCCCCTCCTGGTCAGCAGCCACGGTTTGGGTTACAGACCCGCTTCTGGTCACACTCACCCCGGGGATGGGTGGGGGTCTCCCTCCTCTCCAAAGTGCCCCCCTGCAGTGCCCCAGCGAGGTTGGGGTCCCCCTTGGGCCTTGGGGCACCCTGGCCCAAGGAGGGGCGGGCAGCCCCGTCCCCCACCCCGCCTGCTGCCAGCAGCGCCTTCCGGCTCAGGTCCATCAGTGCCTTCCCAAAAAACGCTTCCTGGAATAGGAGGCTTCTGTCAGCATCAGGGAGTTCCCCCCATCCATCCCCCCATCCAGCTCCCCCAGTCCATCCCACCTGCAGGTACGGAGGGAACATGTCCTCCAACTTGCTCTTCTTCCGCCCCCGGCGCTTTTTCTTCTCGTCCCCCTCTCCTGAGCCTGGATCCAGGCCAGCCTCGGCTGGAACATCACCTGGAGCCCCTGCAACAGCCCCCCGGGAATGAACAGCCACCCCCTTAAAAAGGGTCTGGGGCTGTTCCTGTGCCACTGGCACAGCACTGCGGGGTGCAACCTGAGCACCCCTCCACATCCCTGGGGGTGAGAACGGAATGGGAAATGAAGAAAAAGAACGGTGCTGAGAAGGAAAAAGGAAAAAGGAGGGAAGGAAGGACTCCAGGAAGGAA